GTTTACAGTTATGCACCAATTCTCCAAAAGGCACATCACAAACAGTGGACGTGACGCCTAACAAACATTTACCAGCCACAGCCTCTTGTGTCAGTCAGCAGTCATGTTGCTTACTGCTTAACCTTAATTGGAAAGTTGAAAATGAGACGGAAGCGGTTTTGTACCAGGCAGCAAACGCCCTTTTCTCTGTTCTAAAGTTCTCTGTGGTTTTAGAGACAAACTCAACTTGACCTGTGAAGATCAGCAGACTGCTTTTTTTGCACTTCTACACTGATTTTGTTTTACTGCCTTGGAGGTTTCAGGTTGATTAAAATAACCTTTTACTCCTAAATAAGATGAGGAAACACACAATCTGTCCCCCCCTTCCATTGCTACTTGTGAATTTTTAATACTCTCTGCTTGCTGAGTGTCAAAAGGTATTGATTTTCAATACCCAGACATACTTATTTCCTTAAGATGTATTTAGTAGGGAGTAAACTTCCTGCAAACTCTCATTTTTGTGTCTAATCTATAACTATTTTACCTCCTTCCTCTCCCCCTCTCAGATTATTTGTGTAGCCCAGAGGAGAACATTTACAACATCGACTTCACCAGGTTCAAGATCAGAGATATGGAGACCGGCACAGTGCTGTTTGAAATCACCAAACCCCCGTCTACAGGTCAGTCTTCTGTCTTCTGCATTCATATATTTCATTGTCAACTATTTATTTAAAAAAAGAGAAATTTCCATCATGAAATGCTGTAAAGCGTATGAGTTTCAAACACTACATAAATATTTAAGAAATTGTTTGGAATACACTATATTGTAGCTACAGCTCTATAATCCCTTTGAATATGACTGTTGTGAGCTAATTAATCAAATAGAAATTGATATTGTTTATTCACCAGCTACCAATCAGCAGCTCACGGGAGACATTACATTATAGTTGTTGTTAAATACAATAATATATATAATAAATATTCTTTATATTAGGAGATTTCAAAGTGAGAGCTTTGCAGGATGGGTTGATAATGTGTTTTGTACTTTCTGTAGTTTGAGTAGTGATTTGGTCTATTTACCTCTAAAAACAGAGTCAACCACAGCCCATCCTTTTAGAGGAACTAAGCTACAAAAGTAGGGCTCAAATTGAAGGAAGACAACAAAAATTATAAGATGCGTTAC